CGACGTCAGCGTCTGGTCCAGGAACGGCCGCAGCAGCCGCGGGTCCTGACACGCCAACGACACGCCAACGACACGGCAACGACATGGAAAGGACACGTGAGACACGTGAGACACGTGAGAGACGGGAATGACACGGAAATGACATGGAAAGGACACGTGAGACACACGTGAGAGACGGGAACGACACGGGAACGACATGGGAAGGACACGTGAGGCACGTGAGACATGTGAGAGACGGGAATGACACAGGAACGACACGGGAAGGACATGGGAAAAACACGGGAAGGACACGGGAACGACACAGGAGGGACATGGGAACAACACGGGAGGGACACATGAGGAACACGTGAGGGACACGTGAGACACATGAGTCGGTGTGGCTCCAATGAAACGTCCCCAGGCGTGTCACATGTGTCACATGTGTGTCACACGTGTGTTACCTGTCCCAGGTGTCTCACACACGTCTCACACGTGTCACACACGTGTCACACACGTGTCACACACGTGTCACACACGTGTCACGTGTCTCACACATGCACACGCGTGTCACACGTGTGTCACCTGTATGTGTCTCTGGCACTCCCGCAGCCCCTCGGCCAGCAGCGTGTGTGACCCCAGTGTGTCACATACGTGTGTTACCTGTCCCAGGTGTCTCACACATGTCTCACACGTGTCACACACGTGTCTCTCACACGTGTCACACACGCGTGTCCCACGCGTGTCACCTGTATGTGTCTCTGGCACTCTCTCAGCCCCTCGGCCAGCAGCGTGTGTGACCCTACTGGGTCACACGTGTGTCACCTGTCCCAGGTGTCACACACGTGTCACACACGCGTGTCCCACGCGTGTCACCTGTATGTGTCTCTGGCACTCCCGCAGCCCCTCGGCCAGCAGCGTGTGTGACCCCAGTGTGTCCCACACGTGTGTCACCTGTCCCAGGTGTCTCACACATGTCACGCACACATCTCACACGTCTCTCACACGCGTGTCCCACGCGTGTCACCTGTATGTGTCTCTGGCACTCCCTCAGCCCCTCGGCCAGCAGCGTCACCACGTCCCGGTGATCCTCCAGGAGCTGCCGGAGCAGCGCGCAGAACCGGGACTCGTCCGTGTGCACGTGGATCTGACACGGCAGTTACACGGGAATTACATGGGAGTTACGTGGGAGTTACACACAGGCGTGGCAATGGCAGCAGCTGTGCCCAGGGAACCCCAAAACCCCAAAATCCCCGTTTTTCACCCCATTTCCACCGGGTTTTTTTGCCCCGCCCCTCCCAGGTGTGCCCAGGTGTGCCCAGGTGTGTTTTCGGTGCCCCAGGTGCCCCAGGTGTGCCCAGGTACCCCAAAATGTGCCCCAGGTGAGTGCCCAGGTGTGCCCAGGTGTGTTTTGGGTACCCCCAGGTGAATTTTGGGTGCCCCAGGTGTGTTTTGAGTGTGCCCAGGTAACCCCAAAACCCCCAAAATCCCCGTTTTTCACCCCACTGCTCCTCCCACCTGTGCCCAGGTGTGCCCAGGTGTGTTTTGAGTGTGCCCAGGTGTGCCCAGGTGTGTTTTTACTCCCCGAGATGTGCCCAGGTGCCCCCAAAATCCCCGTTTTTCACCCCATTTCCACCAGGTTTTTATTGTCCTTCCCCTCCCAGGTGCCCCCAGGTGAGTTTTGGGTGCCCCAGGTGAGTTTTGGGTGCCCAGGTGTGTTTTGGGTGCCCCAGGTGTGCCCAGGTACCCCAAAATGTGCCCCAGGTGAGTGCCCAGGTACCCCCAGGTGTGCCCAGGTGAATTTTGGGCGCCCCCAGGTGTGTTTTGGGTGTGCCCAGGTGTGCCCAGGTAACCCCAAACCCCCCAAAATCCCCATTTTTCGCCCCATTTCCTCCGGGTTTTTTTTGCCCCACCCCTCCCAGCCGTGCCCAGGTGTGCCCAGGTGTGCCCAGGTGAGTGCCCAGGTGTGTTTTACCCCCCCAAAACCCCCCAAAATCCCCATTTTTCACCCCATTTCCCCCGGGTTTTTTTTGCTCTGCCCCTCCCAGGTGTGCCCCAGGTGTGCCCAGGTGTGTTTTCGGTGCCCCAAGTGTGCCCAGGTACCCCAAAATGTGCCCCAGGTGAGTGCCCAGGTGTGCCCAGGTGTGCCCAGGTGTGTTTTGGGTGTGCCCAGGTGCCCCAAACCCCCCAAAATCCCATTTTTCACCCCATTTCCACCGGGTTTTTTTTGCCCCGCCCCTCCCAGCCGTGCCCAGGTGCTCTCAGGTGTGCCCAGGTGTGTTTTGGGTGCCCCCAGGTGTGCCCAGGTGTGCCCAGGTGTGCCCAGGTGCCCCAAACCCCCAAAATCCCCATTTTTCACCCCATTTCCACCGGGTTTTTTTGTCCCGCCCCTCCCAGGTGTGCCCAGGTGTGCCCAGGTGTGCCCAGGTGTGCCAGGTGAGTGCCCAGGTGTGTTTTGGGTGTGCCCAGGTACCCCCAGGTGTGCCCAGGTGCCCCAAACCCCCCAAAATTCCCATTTTTCACCCCATTTCCACTGTGTTTTTTTTGCTCTGCCCCTCCCAGGTGTGCCCAGGTGTGCCCAGGTGTGCTCAGGTGTGCCAGCTGTGCCCAGGTGAGTTTTTACCCCCCCAAACCTCCCCAAAATCCCCATTTTTCACCCCATTTCCACCGGGTTTTTATTGTCCTTCCCCTCCCAGCTGTGCCCAGGTGTGTTTTGGGTGCCCCAGGTGAATTTTCGGTGCCCCAGGTGTGTTTTGGGTGCCCCAGGTGTGCCCAGGTACCCCAAAATGTGCCCCAGGTGAGTGCCCAGGTGCCCCCAGGTGTGCCCAGGTGTGTTTTGGGTGTGCCCAGGTACCCCCAGGTGTGCCCAGGTGTGTTTTGGGTGTGCCCAGGTACCCCCAGGTGTGCCCAGGTGTGTTTTGGGTGCCCCCAGGCATGCCCAGGTGTGTTTTTACTCCCCGAAACGTGCCCAGGTAACCCCAAAATCCCCATTTTTCACCCCATTTCCCCCGGGTTTTTTTTGCCCCGCCCCTCCCAGCTGTGCCCAGCTGTGCCCAGGTGTGCCCAGGTGTGCCCAGGTGTGCCCAGGTGTGCCAGGTGAGTGCCCAGGTGTGTTTTACCCCCCCAAAACCCCCCAAAATCCCCATTTTTCGCCCCATTTCCACCGGGTTTTTTTTGCCCCGCCCCTCCCAGGTGTGCCCAGGTGTGTTTTGGGTGCTCCAGGTGTGTTTTGGGTGTGCCCAGGTACCCCAAAATGTGCCCAAGCTGTGCCCAGGTGTGTTTTGGGTGCCCCCAGGTGAATTTTGGGCGCCCCAGGTGTGTCTCAGGTGTGCCCAGGTGCCCCAAAATCCCCATTTTTCACCCCATTTCCCCCGGGGTTTTTTTGCCCCGCCCCTCCCAGGTGTGCCCAGGTGTGCCCAGGTGTGCTCAGGTGTGCCAGCTGTGCCCAGGTGAGTTTTTACCCCCCCAAACCCCCCCAAAATCCCCGTTTTTCACCCCATTTCCACCGGGTTTTTTTGCCCCACCCCTTCCGGCTGTGCCCAGGTGTGCCCAGGTGTGCCCAGGTGAATTTTGGGCGCCCCAGGTGTGTTTTGGGTGTGCCCAGGTACCCCAAAATGTGCCCCAGGTGTGCCCAGGTGTGTTTTGGGCGCCCCAGGTGTGCCCAGGTGTGCCCAGGTGTGCCCAGGTAACCCCAAACCCCCAAAATCCCCATTTTTCACCCCATTTCCACCGGGTTTTTTTTGCCCTGCCCCTCCCAGCTGTGCCCAGGTGTGCCCAGGTGTGCCCAGCTGTGCCCAGCTGTGCCCAGGTGTGCCCAGCTGTGCCAGCTGTGCCCGCTCACTCACCGGGGGGAAGTCGCTGAGCTTCTGGAAGGCGCGGATGTAGAGCTCGTGCTGGGGGAGGGGAGAGGTCAGAGCAGCCCCAAAATTCCCCAAATTTTGGGGATTTTTGGGGAAATTTTGGGGATTTTTGGGGAATTTTGGGGATTTTTGGGGAATTTTGGGGATTTTTGGGGATTTTTTGGGGATTTTTTGGAAATTTTTAGGGATTTTTGGGG